CAGTAATGCACAAGACCTTGCAGTGCAGTACGAGGAACAGAGTACTAGGATGTAATGTGTCTCTGTAAGCGCGCACAACTTACTTTTAACTTCTTGTTTACACTTTTGAGAGCTGTTGGGTATTAAAGCTATTGATTAAAAAAAATTCAAAGACTATGTTATAAACAGAACCCGAGAACCAGGTGGGTTTACTGTCTCTAAAAGATACATACCCTGCAATCTGTTACTGAGTCCTCAAAATGTACTGTTCTTAAATAAATCGAAGCCTGTTTCCAATACAAATCAACTTAAGAATTTTCCAAAATAACATTTCATTTCCTGATATTAGCGAATACTGTGTCTTATTCTGTTCTGTTTGAAGACAATGATGCATTAAATATTCCTGAAACAAGGGAAATTGCTTTTTAGAATGAGTGTGATTATCTCATTCCAATGCCAGAATTCTTCTCTCGCTTTCAGAAAAATTCAAGTTTAAGCTGAATGTTAAATTACTTGTTAAGACAAATGTTTTCTGTGGTGTATTCAGCATTGAACTAGCATTTTAAAATATCCAGTCTAGCCACAAAAGACTAGAGAATATTGTGAGTCATCGAATGGACTACAATACAAATTGCTCAGTTTTATTATCCTGGAAAAGGACATGCCTTGAAATGATGGGCTTTGTCCATTGCTGCATGAGGAATATCTAGTGCTTTTTTTTTTTACTTTTATGCACTGTTTGTAGTCACCACAGGCTGTATGTCTGAGTTAAACAAATAAACCTCAGGTATTATTTGGCAGGTTATTCCTAGGCTTACCAAACTTCACTCCCAATTTTGTTCCGTCTAAAGCTGCCTTCTTGTTTTTGTGTTTCATTAGACTCTCCCATCTCCTTTCTTTTTTACAATCTCTGCTGCTAGAGGTTTCTCACGTCAAGCAATAACAAAAGATGTAGTTTGATGGTTGTGGAGTAGCTTGGGGTCATGGGACTTGTTATCTTCATTGTTAAACTGGTGGTTGTTTCTTTGCTGATTTAAAATCTGACGTGATTCAGGCAGCAATTATGTTCACAGATGAGGTAATGTATCAAAGTTTTATTCGCTTTACATTTATTCACATTCGCTGACTTCCTCACTCTCTTGTGTATCCCGCATTTCCCTGGAAATTGGAGCAATGAGAGGAGGTAAAGGCCAAAAAACGCCACTGACAAGCAACCAAATGAAAGGTTACCTTGAATAATATTACAGATTCCTCTCGGTTTAAACATTGTTGCAAACATTTGGAATAACAGCTCAACAGTCGTTTTTAGACATTTTAAATGCGTAAATGTTACATTATATCTTTAACATACTGTCACAGTTTCAGGCAGTCATCCTGAAGTTTAAAGACATTTTACAACAGCTGTCAAATCAAGACAGCATGGAGTCCTGTTCTTCATGTTTGGCAGACTGTATGAGTGTGTTGCATGTGTGTGCTTCTCTGTAGGAGTGTAGGCTGGAAGTGTTCAGAGCGAGATGAGATGTTTTATTGAACAGAGGTGTCTGGCACTCTGTACACAGACGAGCACTGTTGAGTGCCAGCAGTGATCGGTGTCAACCTTCAAGTTCTGCTGCAAAGGTGGAGATTGATGTCAACCACTAACACCAAGTTTAATCAAACCATTTGTTGACTTAAAATTTTCCTTTAAAATATGTTTACTCTGTAGGGGTAGAGTTGATTAATTATAAAACACAATTGTATAAATGCTAAAAAGCTGAAAACGGGGTTAGAGAGGAACGTAGCACAGTTAGCATCATGAGATTCAATGCCAAGAACAAATAATATCATACATCAAGTTGGTAGGAAGATGTTGTTATGGACTGTTTTTTAACTTTTAGAGGCAGCTGGACTCGAGATCGCAAGATCCCGCCTGAATCCATCTTGCTAGGCTGCAAGCTATGTGCTTGTGTGCTTATGGAACTACTGGCAGCTATGGTGTGAGCTACGGCGTGGATTAAAGACTAGTTGTGTGTGAGAAGTGACTGCTTGAAAACAATAATGGTGGCTGCTAAAGAGGTTAGTGTCGATGCTGCTAGCATCAATCATATCGTAACCGGAGAGTATTTCTTCATGAAAGAAGAGCAGAGAACAGCACTGAAGGCTTTTCTCTATGGAAACAATGTTTTCGCTCTTCTCCCGACTGGTTTAGGTGAGAGTTGGACTATGTTATATGGTTTACTGATCTGATTAGTTGAGAAGTATGCCTGATCGACAGTGATAGACAGATGGTTCATCCAATCACCTGCTGAGTACATTTTGAAAGTGCCTTTCTTTTTCCAAAGAACTTCCAACAACGACTTTCCAGATGATTCTGTGTAACAACATCTTGTTCAGTCAGGTTAATTGATGCCGTGGTAAATCGTCAACAGACCATAAAATGTGAATATAAACCTAATGAAGTCATCAACCATGAATGATCAGCATTTCTCACAGTCATAGTCATATATACAGGCAGAAGAGATTTTTCTCTTTGAATAATCACTCTCTTGTGATAAGAGAATCCAACGTGGTCTCCAGACACATTTTACAGACGTTATCTCGATGCTCAGTTGCTATTGCTCAGTATTTTGTCTTATGTTATCATCATTGTTGTTGCCTGTGTTTTTAGATATTGCCCCACTGTGACTAGTATATAAAAATACGTATAGATGGGTATATTTATTAATATTTAGGTTGTGTCCTGTTTTTTCTATTTACTAAATCAAATTCAACATTTCTAAATGATTTCCGATTTCAACTTCAACACTTGTTTGGTTGCATTTTCAACAGTACGCACCTGCCAGCTCTACCAGGTGAGCAAACACTTGTTTTGTCTATTTCTTTAGTAAAAAAAAATCATTCCAACATTGACAGAGAAAGCTGTTCACTTTTATAATGACATTAAAAGTTGAGAAATATAGTCAGTCTCAAGGCTACTCCACAGGCCAGAAAGCATAAATCAGCGGCTGCAACTGCTGCCTCACACAATTGCCTTAATGAAAGTTTATGAAGTGCTCGAAGGCATTTGATTTTTTTACGTGGCCATTATCAATGAGGAAAATAAAAACTATGCTTATCTCGTTGCAGCATACTGAATGGTTTTCCTTTCATTTTGGAAAAACTATTTACATAGTCATTATCATAATACAATTAGCAATCCGAAGCCACTTACCAATTCATCCATGTTTGGACTTTCTAAATCCAAACTCAATTAACTTCTCAGTCAGCAAACCCTGAGAGCAGTATTAACCAGATTACTGACAATTAAAAAAGGACAAGCTTTGTATAAAAAATACTTTAAAATAAAAAATAAAAATACTTATTTTTTAAGGAAACAGTGGATAATAATAATTTCATCATCATTTTTATATCATTTTTGTTGAAAAAATTGTATTTGGCACAATCATCACCTGCTGTAGTATGAATAGGTCTGTGCAATCCACAATCCTGTGTTTATGAGAAAATAACCAATGATGAAGGAGCTAAGAAGCCCTCGGAAAAGAGCAAAAGATGGTTCCGTTGTTAGACAGTGAGAAGATTATTCTGCTTGCATAACCAATATCAAATATTCAATATAATAACTGACTGCTCATATTGTGGGAAAATAGAAATAGATAGAAATAGATGTTCACCATCTTTTTTACTCCTTACATTAATGTTACAGTAGTTTGCACTCCAACAAGTGAAAGACGCCGTTGCCTAGTAACAGCCAAAACTATCATCCTTGGAAATATAAGATGTAATGTGGGTGTTTAACTTTTACTTTGTTTAGCTCATTCTGGCGGAATCTGAGGTTTAATTCATTTTCCATCTCTATCCTTTTATCCTCTGCTTTCTATTGCTAAGGAAGTCGGACACAGTTTCAATTCATTCATTTCATTTTGCATGCAAAACATACAAAGAGCTGGAGTGCCTTGGTAGCTGAATGGTTGCATGCCATACCCCCGTCTGTCTGCCTCTTATTGTCATACAGTCCAATAAAGGTTAAATTGGCCAAAAATATCTTTAAAAAACAACATATGGAGGGCTAATGTTATAGAATAAATTACCCAACAATATAGCCAAGTGCAAGTAACTGATTCATGGATTAATGGACAGAAAAGGAATGGCCAACTATTTGTTTTTATAATTTACATTTACACACATTTACATGGCTTCTCAGATGTGTCATCATTTTGAGTATTGTGCTGTTGGACAAAATGAGCCTTGTCTCATTTCGGGCTGTGGGTAATTGTGATGGTAATTCTCACTATTTTCTGAATTTTTACAAACTGAACAATCCACCGATTGATTAATTAAAAAGATTATAATTAGGAGATGTATCTATTTTGAAAATACTCATTAGTTGCAGTCCTATACAAAATAGTTAAGAATGAGCTCCACGTCAACCACTATGACAGCTTTTATATTAATGCATGAATAATAATACTCTAATATATAATAGGATAACTGTCACATGAGCCATTTGTCTGGAATAATTCTATCTAATAAGTAGTTTACATACTCACATACTTTTATTTAAGTAGCATTTTTAATGCAGACTTTAAATGGATTATTTTTACGGTGTGGTATCTTTACTTAAGTAAACATTCTGAATACTTCCTCCACCACTGCGCAGGTCTCATGTCTGTGTGTTAATGTCTAACACCAAGTAGGTCTAAGCGTAATCTTCACAGGAATTTCTTTGTGATTCTTGAGGCAAGATGGAGAGTGTGAACTTCTGAGTGAGGAAATTGTAATTAGATTTTTTTTGCTGCTGTGTTGGTGTCTTATTGTCCTCAGTTCTATCCTGACTGAGTGTGCATCCCTGCCCAGTATTTTTAAAATAGAAAATGCTATCAAACCAACCAGATTCAAGTATTCCCCCAGTGATGTTGTAATCTAGCCTTAACCTGCATTAATACAGACCTTACTGTACCATAATGAGTGATTTCAACACTTATAGACACACAAATACACACAAGCTTTCAACCTACACAGCTCAACCCCCCCCCATTCCTCACCATGGCTAGTGGCACGATGCCACCCAGGTCCTGCGGTGCCAGCCGGATGAGGGTCAGCACCTCACTGGTAAGGGTGCGGGCGAGCGGATACTCCACCTGCCATGTCACCTCCCTTCCGCCCTGAATCACCATCAGCCCGTTCACCTCCAGGTCCACCTGCAGCACTCGCTGGTAGCCTGCTGCCTCCACTCTGCAAGGGGAGAGAGGGGAGAAGATGTGTGTCAGGAGTGGATTTAGATAAAAGAGAAGGGCAGGGAGCGGGAGGGAAAGAGAGGCAAAGAAAGATAGGTGGCAATCGGAAAGGATAACAAATTAGAAATAAGGTGGGAGTCAAAAGGGATGAGGGAGTAGCAGGAAAATAGATGAAAAATGAAAATACTAAAATAAGCCCATGGAAAAATTTGAACACAACAGGAAATCCAAAAAAGAAAGAAGATGATGACATAAGACTATGAATGAAGGGAAGGAAACAGTGAGTGGGAAAAAAAGGGTGAGGAGAAAATAGAGCGGAAACAGGGAAGAAGAGTCGGGTTAAAGAAGGAGGAGAGACAGAGACTGAGGAGAAACAGAAGGGAAATTGGTCTTTATCATCCATTAACAGGAGTGTTTGGTGTTGGGGGTGGAAGAACGGACTGATAAACAGCGACTGAGAATTAATTGCACATTTTAATCAGGTGTTAAGAAAATCAGAAACAGAAATATTTTATTTTAGCGAGCAGACGATGCTTCCAGTGTATTACACGCAGATGTTGTGTGAGGATATGCTATTTCTCCCTAAAATGTAAGCAAACGTATCCCTCATCTCACAATCTGATATGAAACTAATCGCAGCACTATTGAAATTCATTCTCACATCCGCACAGAACCATGATGTTGGCAAAAAAAAGCAATTTATTTTTCCTCTCGCAATATGGAGCTTCTCTTGCAGAGATTGCCAGGGCCGAGCAAATAATTTTCTCTCAGCTGATGGAGATGCAAACAAAGCAGAAAGAACAATGAATGCAAAATAAAATCCCCCAAACTTATTTGATTTGCTGACTGCTAGGTTTGATCAAGCTGCCTCTCCCTCAGGTGTTCTCTGTCACAGACAAAACTTGATGCAACACCTTTCCCAACAAGCACACAGATACACATGCTGTCTTGAAATACAATTTGCACTTAGGGATCTACAAATGGCTCACAGAACAAAAAATTAAAGGCAGTAAGGCAGTTCCAAGAGGCAATCGATGTATGTGTTGTAGGCTTTAGTATGAAGTTGTACCATACTCTTTTTTTTTTCTATCCTGAGCAGTATGTTGTTTGGTTGTCACACAATTAAAGCAAGGCTGGAGAGAGCCCAAATTGAGCATGAGGAAGGGGGGGGTAAGATCCAAGGTTTTCCTTGAACATATTTTGGCCAACCCTGTTTTTAAAGCTCCCCCAACTCCCCTCTTATGTGTTCACACTTCAGATGCTAGCCTCACTTCAAAGTGCAGATTTAAGGATCCACTCTGGTAGGAAAGTGTAAGGGAGAAGCCGAAAATCAGTGTGGATGAAAACAAGCTTGAATAGCAATCCTGGTTACACTTAATGTGTTTCCAGATACCAGTGAGAAGCTTTGGCCCCGGGGTGATCACAGGTGAATATCCAGGTGTGAATCTGGCCACACAGTGAGCGCTGTTGAGATACAATTCTGTTTGAACACAGAGGAATTATACAGGTACTGTAGCGCAGCACAGTGTGTGGTGGTTCTTTGTGATATTGTGGAACTGAAAAATCTTCCTGTGACTCTCTCCTTTCCAATTTTTACCCTAAACTGCATGCATAACACTTCTTTCCCACCAATAAATTATTTTCCAACCTAGACTAAAGGATAAGGGTGGTGAAAATTGATATTTGTCTTATTGTCAACAAATCTCATGACATAAACAATTTCCATGGAGCTCCATTGTGTATTGAAAAACAATTCTGTTGCACCTTTGCACTGTGAGACATTATTATACATTCTGATAAACATGGCCTGTGTAGTTTATTTTCAGTCGATGGCACACACACACACCTGCTGCCTTTAGATACTTAGTAGAGCAAATGTGTGGTAATCCACGAAAGAAAATAGTCCCCAACCAATACAATATTTACTCCTGATTTAACAATATTTGCTAAAAACTACAGTGCCCAGCTGTGTAAGGAAATTGCTGAGAAATCTGCTTTAAAAAAAAAATTAAACTATGTATTTCTAACCTGTTTTTAAAGATTTACGTCTTCAGTAGGAACAAGAGGCGTGGGACTGAGCACCACAGGCTTTATTGGGAAGTTGTTAACCGTTATAAGACTTGAGGTCTTTTCATTGGATTCTTAAATTATCATTATTTTTGGGGGCAAATTTTACACCTTATTAGACAGCGACAGTAGAGAAATGACAGAAAAAGGGTGAGATATCCAACAAGAGTCTCCAGTTGGATTTGAACTGGGAATGTTGGAGTTCAGTGTCTTAACCCCTTTGGCCAATGGAACGTTGACTCTAAAAATATTGAATAATGCCAGCCTCATTCTTTAATATTTAGCTTTTCATTATACAATCTAGACATCCTATCCCTCTTTCTGCAAAAAGATGTATGGGAATATACATTTCTCCCACAGTGTCATTACCCTCCCTCTCTATCTCATCTCCCACCCACTGTCCCCACTTTACATTTATATTTAAAAAAGTTTAGAATTCTATTCTATCTATTTTATATATATTAAAGTTCTATATTTACATGTTTGGGAATGGTCCTTTTCTGCTGTCCAAATAACCAAGTGCAGAAATGGATTAATAAAAACATGAAAAATCAAAAGCATTGCTAAGTAGTCCGCAAAATGAGTTTCGATTACATAACCAAGAGGAAGAAACACACAAATGTAACATTAGAAACACTATGTTTGCTCTTTTTTAAGCATGCTTTCCACGCGGGGTGCCGTTTATATATTTCCAGGCTCATTTTTTGCTCTTTGAAATCCATTTGCTTTTCATCAAAGTTAAGCATCAAAAGCAAAAACTGAGAAACTGCTGAGAGCAAACATCTCACACAGCCCATATTGCAGATTGTACTTTCTATTTGCTTACCCACATTAACTGATTTGTTGAAAAATCTCTGCTTTCTGTTGTACGGCTGTGGACTGTAAGTATCTGCCACTCGCACAAGCTCAAGTCCATCCATCACTCTCTTTTCCTTTTCAATTTCTCTCTCAGACAGAAACTCTGAGTGCTACAGAACCGCAGTAGGATATCCTCCACTCCCCGACAACACGCTGGGCTCAGGGGTAGTGACTGCAGTGATTATGTGGTTTACGCTTATGGTGTACAATTACAGCCAAATCAATTATCTGCAACAGACAGTCGTGCGTTACAATGAAGCTGCGAACAATCAGGGCTTTAGTGCTGAACACTACAATACAACTCCCCTTCACTCCCTATTCAATATGTCTTTTTCTGTGTTGTCTTTATTATTGTGCCTTTTTCTTGTCTTTGCTCTTTATTTTCATCTTCTTTCCTCCCCCCCTTAAACTTATTCCACTGGCTCACCTGCAGTGTTATATTGCTCCCAATAGAGGGCGGTTTGCTCTCTTCCCTCACCCTCACCCCCTTTCAACCATCGTGTGTTTGGGATGATGAATGTCTGCAGCCCACCAGTTGGAGAGGTCAGCCCGCTTCCTCCATGTCTCATTAGAATCATAACCGCACCGCGTGCCCTTTCCTCGCCGCGATTACCATACAATTCGACACATTCACTGGCGACTATCACTTCTCAGGCCCTGACTCGTGGATGGGGGGATGAGAGCAAGAGGTGGACGCTGAGACAGAGACAAAACACAGAGCGGAAACGGGGTCAAAAGGGCTACAATAAAAGAAAAAACGTCTACTAGGATCACAGAACTGACTGTGCCACTCAAAAAGCGACAGTGCCCCGGCATCGTAGTTTGTTGTGGGGAAATGAGGTGGAAAATCGGTCATGTCATTTTGAGGAGGCTTTTGAGGTATCTCCAGTTGTCAGTCCTATTGTTGGGTTTGAAAGCACAAACAGAACAAGGTAAAAGAATCCACTCAGAGGAAAAAACATGCGCACTTTCAATTCAGTAAGATACATTTCAAACAAACCCTTGTAGTAACAAAGGGACTCTGAGAGGAAAAGCAGCGGCATAAAGAGAAAAAAATGACAAGAAAGAAATTCCTTTTGTTCGCAAATAGGAAAATAAAAGTGGAGCTAAGGTACACAAAAGCCCTGTTAAACATGCAGCCATGTTTTCCTCTTTTCACTCTTAACACTTCTGTGGATATCCGGCTCTGAGAAAGGTAGTGAAAGAAAACTCTGCTGTCTGTTTTAGAGACCCGAGGGGGTTCCTTTCATGCACAGCAGTGATTTGGTTAGCACTGACAACAATGATACATCAAAGACCTGAATCTATTTCAACACAGTGAATCGACAGCGAGTCCAACAATAGAAGGAGAGGTGGGGGTGAGACAGTTTGTGTGTGTCTGTACAGTATGTGTTTGTATGCACTAAGATTAATACCTCAAACGGCTCCATTCATTAAATACCCTTTTCCATTATGGGAGCCAGAAGACAATGGGATGTACTTCCTGGCCGACACGTTCAGCTCGGTTTCTCAGCCAGTGTGAGGAAATGCTGTAAATAAACTCGCTGGCCCCAGAAAAGGTTGGCCGTGAATGCACTTTTTTGTGTGGTCAGATTTCTGTGTCGGATTTTTCTCTGCCAATGAAATATTGTTTGTTTGATGCACTGTAGATAGGATGTTTGTGACCCCGCACATGCTGTATTCCTTGTGTGTTGGCTGTGGGTCAGATGACACCAAAGTAAAAGGACTGCATGAAAGTGCACCGCAAGAAAGATTTAAGACGCGTACCAGTAATTCTCCCCGGCCAACATGCAATGACTGAAGACATTTTTCATATCTTATATAACTCACTCTGTGTGGCTGTTAATGTAACTGGAGTCTATGCTGTAGCCTGTTATATGGTCTGCTGTTGGCAATCTTGATATTTCCCATTAGATATGTGTTTTCGTTACTTAACATTATTAATTTGATTTTTTATTTTGATCACTTGTCTTAAAAAATGGCAAAACAATGGCCATCACAGTTTCCTAGAACCCAAGGTGATGCCTTCGAGTTTTGCCCCAAAAAATAATCCAAACCCTGCAGATATTCAGT